GATTATACATAGGTTAAAATGATTACAGACGGCATAATTTTACAAACCTATCAATTAAGAGATTAAAAAATAATACATCGTTCAAGTTAATAAAAGTGTGACTTGGAGCCCAGCCAGCAGCATACTATAGTCAAAGAACCTACATAAAAGTGTTGAGTTCAGGAAGAACCTCCAAAATTAAGACAATTTTAACCAATTTGAAGAGGCATAAAGAGAAATGTAGAAACACTTGTTATAACATAGTCACAGTTTTGAAGGTTTTCTGCTATAATTAAAAGAAAGTGAGATTTATAAAACAGTATCCTCACATATGTGGACTATGAAGCAGTGCCTTTTGCTTAGGTATCATTTCACTTGGGAATGGAGAAATAAATCACCATTGCAACTGATGCACAGAAAACTGGGGAAACAAAGGAGCCAGACTTTCTTTGATTAACATGTTTTTGTTATGATTGACAAAAGGAAGTTGTTCAGGATGTGTTCACATCTGTGGTGACGTTCCTTGTGGAAATATTTTTTTCATCTGTCCCATAGTTTTACAAAACTCAATTCAAATGGGAGGAATTAATGAGGAATTAATGAGTGATGTTTGTACAATCTTTCTTTGGAGAAATCAGAACTTGACAAGAAATTATAGACCTACATAATTAATCGATGTACTACTAAAATTCTCAACTTTAACCTTTAACTGGACCGAATGGTCCATTATAGTGCAAAATTATTTTAACCAAGGTACCTCAAATGGACTAACTTACAGAATACCGAAATCCATCACTATTGAAGGAATCAAATTTGGGAAAGGAGTGACTGCTTCAGTGCTGCCATTACACTGTTGCAGTCATGTGATCCCCATTTTAAACCTTTTTTGCAAGCTTCCTAGTAACATCACTCAAAACTAGGCATGCACGCCCCTAACTACCTCTATTTCAACCACAACTGGCCTTAAATGCAAGCTACTCAATGCAAGAAGCCTTGTAAATAAAATACCTGAATTTCTTCTCTTACTAAATACGGCTAAATTCGATATTATATTTGTCTGTGAAACATGGCTTAATGCATCTCTCCCTGACTCCATTACCACAGTAAGACCCTATCATGTTTACCAATCAGATCGTGAAATCCGTAGAGGAGGTGATGTTGCTATCTTCTATAAAAAGTCCCTACATCTAAAAAACATCCAAGTTACCCAGGAGTTTGCTATTTCTGAGACCATTGTCTGTGAACTGTCCTTAAATATCACATTTCGGTTCTTACTATGTTACAGAGCCCCTGATTCCATGCAAACAAGCTAAATACACTACTAACATGGGCAGCATCCTGCCCACATGCTTCTATCTTTCTTTGTGACTTCAATCTACCTCATATTAACTGGACCCTTAACAAATGTACAACTGAACCCACACATGCAACCTTCTACAATGCAGTAACAAATCTGGGACTAGAACAACCAGTAACCAACAACACTAGACTTAACAACTGCCTCGATCTCATCTTCTGCAATAGTTTGAATTCAATTTACAGAATATAAATTAAAGAATCCTTTTCCAACAGTGACCACAACATGATTGACTTTTGTCTCAACATAAGTCCATACAAAAATCATCTCCACGGCGGAATCCCCAATTATAACTTCAAAAAAGGCAACTATGATCTTATAAACAACGATCTCTCATCCCTTGATTGGCAATTTCTATTCTCTGGATGCAATACTGTAGAAGACCATTACAACATATTTTTACTTGAAGTCAAAAGAGTCATCAAACTATATGTACCATTAACAACTCCCAAAACCAGAAAAAAACAAATTACCCAAAACAATAAGGAAGCTTCAATCCAAAAAGAAATCACTTTGGCGGAAAAACAAATCTGGTCATGTTGCCAACTTCAAAAGCCGATACAAAAATTTATGCCACCAGAAAAAAAACTGAATATACCAATTATCACATTAAACAAGAAGAAAACCTATGCACCAATTCCACCTGCACTTTCTACAATTTTGTAAACAACAAACTAAAAGACTCAAGGTGCATCCCACCCCTGAAAGGACCTAATGGTAAAGACTGCAACGATGACACTATTAAAGCCAACCTCTTTAACACATTCTTTGGCTCATTATTTATAAACAGCATTGCAATGTCCTACCTGTCAATGAATACTTCAGCTTCAACCATAACAACACAAGAGCAAACAATAGATACAAACTCAAGGTTAAACGCATCAAACTTGATTTCAGGAACAGAATGGTCAATGTCTGGAATACTCTACCTGACTCTGTGGTTTTTTCCCCAAACCTCAAAAACTTTAACCTTAGACTTTCTACTATTGATCTCACCCCTTTCCTAAGGTCTGTAGGGGGCGTGCATAAGCACACCAATGTGCCTACTGCCACTGTCCTTTTGTTTCTTTTATATTTTTTTATTTTTCTTATATGTATCCATGTATTCATAGCTATGTTTTTACTTATACCTATTATCTTGTAAGCAATTGACAAAAATAAAATAAATAAAATAAATAATTCATGGAACCCCTCCCTCCTTCCCCTACTCAGCAGTAGCCACAAACCTGCCTGCTGGGAAGGGGAAAGGAGAAAGATGTTGGCCAAGTCCAACACTACTATGTGTTTTTTATTATGTGGTACAATAAGCCAACGAATTCATGCAGGGTAGAGAAAAATTGAATTCAAATAGTATTTCTGTGCAGAAGTAAAGGGATGCACTTGAGATCCAAATCCAAATCAAGGGTGTTGAGAAACAGCTTGGTGCAGACTTAAATAGAGAAAAGCAATTTTTATGGATACACACAAGCAAGCCGCATAACCCATGCTCACTAAAACTTAAATAGAGAAAAGCAATTTTTATGGATACACACAAGCAAGCCACATAACCCATGCTTACATATGCATAGGGCTGCATTTAATCAGTTAGGATGTTCATCTCTGGTTGTGTTTTTTCATATGCTAATGATAAACTTTGTTCATCTCCAGATTCCTGCCTTTAACCACAGTATAAGCTTTAAGACTTTACCCACAATGAAAGAGGATGGTGGAATGTGCTGAGAAGGCCAAATTGACAGCTTTAATTAGAAATAAGACTGATTGGAAACCTATTGACTTTTTGTGTGAAACAAAAAAAATGAAATTACATTTTTGATTATTAGAAAAAATAGATTATGGAAAAAAATGTAAGCAATACCGCAACCATAAAGAGATTGATTTACATTTTACTTATATAGTAACTGATATAGATGAAAATTGGAAGTCATTTCTTTATAATTTTTTTCTTTTCTGTACTTTTAGCTTGTTCTTTATTTGCTACCTTTTTCTTTTTTGTTCATTTTCATTAGTTTTTGAAATAAAGGTATTTCAAATAAATATTGGAAATGCAAATGTAAAGAAGGAACTTTTTATCACTTATGGTGGACATCTGATAAAGAAAAGAAATATTGGAGTAGGATTCACATCTTAATACAGAAGATTCCCAAAGTAAATATAAAGATAAAACCAGAAACAACTTCTGGATTTAATTGAAAAAGACTTTGAAAAAGATTTAGAACTTTGGTATTATATATGTTGACGGCAGCAAGATTATTTTACACACAAAAATGAAAAGACACTTCGATTCCTACAATGAATGAATGGTTGCAAAAGTTGATGGAGTTAGCAGAAATGGCCAAATTGACTACTCTGATCAAAGAAAAAAATACAATTACTTTTGTTTCTACTTGGAAATTGCTTTTGGACTTTGCGCTCAATATGAAAAAAATGATTTGGGGTTTTATCAATTAGATAGGCTTGTTATAGAAATGGCTAATTAATATTATATAAAAGTAAAAAGTTGAGGTTTGATGCTATTATCTTATTGTACCGCACCAAAGGGAGTCAGAAGTCAATGCCTTTTCTTTTTTCTCTTTGCCTTATATTTCCCCTTTCCCTCCTTATTTCCCTACTATTTTCTTTTGTATTCTTTTATATTATAAAATAAAGACAACATGAAAAAGAAAACAATTAATTGAAGGATGGTATTAAATAGTGAAGATTTGAGAAAAATGAATGTAACTTGGAGTTATAGTAAAATTCTTATTCTTGGTGTTATCTCAATAGGGTGTATACCCTTCAATTGCATATTTTTCCTTATGGCACTGTTATTTCCCCCCTCATTTTTACATGTTTTGAATAAAACCAGCTAAAAACCTGAAAACGTAGACAAACGTTTGTTGCAAAATGAATCCATAATTAATAAAGCTCTTTCTTGTTGCTCTGGCCTGCCAGATTAGCAGCACCTAATTTTTCACTAGTTTCTTAATCCCACCTTTATTATTTTAAAAATAATATTTTAAGGCAGGAACATACCTAATGCTCTGTCCTCCTCAGTTTCCCCACAGCCTTATGTTGTGTGGAAAGAGAAACTAACAAAAGCCACCCAGCCGCCTTTCATAACTCCAAATGACAGGAGGAAAAATGCTTGTTTGTCAAACGGGAAACCACTCTTAGTTTTTTAAACTTTAAATAAAACGTTCCCCGTTCAGGAAGCGATATTGTAGTAAAATAGACAGGAAGCTGGCCCTGGGGAGTTCTTAGGTTCACCTGCCCCCCAGAGTTGTGAGCACAAAAGAGAAAAAACACATTTATGTTGAAGGGCAAATTAAAGTATAGTTTCAATAAACCTGTATGGTCTGTCTTGTGGTAGGGAAACTTTCTTTTCTTTGGGGATAAATTAAAAGCGCCCTACGCGACTATGAACTGGACTCCCTCCCCCTCAAGCTAGCGGTCCCGCTAGTCCACGGCAGGCGCGGGCCTTCGGGAAAAACCCCGCCGCGCCGCCTCAAAAACAGCGAGCGGAATCGTGCTTTTCCCGGCCGGCTGAGAAAGTGCTTCGTTTCCTCCCTATTGCGAAACTCGGCGCATGGATTCCCGCCTCTTAGGCGTGGCTCGGCCGGGCAAAGGACAAGAATGGGCCGTCGGGAAGCGCCTCAGCCAATCCGCGAACAAACTGGGCGTCATAAAGCGCCCTCTTTCTCGTCCTCAGCTCAGCGGTTTTTTTTCACTGGCGCGCTGTTACGTACCGAAGCCTGCCGGGGAAATGGCGCTCAGCTCGGCCTGGAAGCGAATGTCGTGGCTTTATTACCAGTATCTGCTGGTGACGGCTCTTTACATGCTGGAGCCCTGGGAGCGGACGGTGTTCAGTATCCTTTACTCGCTGACTTTATTGTCGTCCCAGTCTGAAAAATTCCTGGATCCGTCGGGAAAGTTCCCGTTTAAGCCAAATGCAGGTTGCCGTGGCCGGTTTGGGCTCGGACGAGCGGATGGGAATGGGTGGCAGCGGGCGGCCTTGGGATCTTGCCTTAGGCGGGAGGCAAGAAAGCTGCCTTGTATGTGCGCCACTGGCTTGGAGAGGTTTCGCCCGCTGCGGAGTGGAAGTTCTCCATAGAAGGCAGAAAACCACTGTCGCGTAAATTAACTGCTTCCGTTCACTGCTCTGTTTCCAGCCTTTACTCGTTTTTAAGGCGTTGCTGCTATCTGAATACTGGCCTTGTACTTTGTTTGACCTCAAAGGTTTTTGGTTAAAATGCTACTTCAACAACAACGCAGTTAAGGATGCCTTGCTCAGGCTGGGTACGAAAATAGAAATGTTTGTGCTGTGATTTGGTTTGGAAGGGAATAAAGCCCAGAGATGGAAATTAATGTCATTCTATTTCAGAGCTGCCATCTTAATCTTATACCTTAGGAAGAAGGTTGTGGCTAAGCTTAATGTCCTTTCAGACGTATTTTAACCTATCACTTTTATTTTCATACCCCACCTTGGAAAGACTTTGCTCTTTAGTGCCTAGTATTTTACTTCTAAAGACAACGTCTAGATTTGCACTGTTCAATTTCCTTAATTTAGGCATTTAGTATTTGGCAGTTAAAAAGGAGGCACAAGGTGGAAATTGAAGCCATATTTTCTCCCTTTTCTTAACTATTGAGGATATATTATCTGTTAAAGGAGATATTCTCACTGGGTGACAATCAAATAGGTAGTTTTCTGTCTATTTACAGGATTGTTGTGGAGATAGATATATTCAGTTTTGATATCAATAAAGTTATTCAATCAGGATTCATTGAAAAAAAACTTTATTCCAAACTTACATGGTTTTGTGGCAATTTCAAACTATCATTCTATTTTAGAGTCTAAAAACATGTAACAGATTTCTGCTGCCAGTGCAGTCCTTTGTATTTCTTGTGAAGGAGCAGGCATCTGTTACATCTTTCAGAATTTCTTGATTTTCTTGCCAGCCCTCAGAACATTCCTTAATTTAGTTTTCTTTTACTGCCGAATTTTTAGCAAATGCTCCAGAATAATTAATTATAATGTTAAAAACAATATTTTAATTATTTGACCAAAATCTTTAAAGGCAGAAGTTAACACAATATACACTTCAACGTTTTACAATTGATAGGATAGCCAAAGCTCTGCAGCCAGTTAGTATAGTGGTTTGTTAACAGTTGAATAGGACTGGGGGGAATTAGATTCATGTAGTTCTTTAGCTGTGGAAGTTCATTTAGTGACTGTTTGAAGTTACAATAGCATTGAAAAAAAGTGACCTCATTTTTTTCATGACTGTTGCAGCAGCCCAATAATCACATGATCAAATTTCAGATACTTGGCAACTGGTTCATATTTATGATGGTTGCAGTGTCCCAGGGTTATGTGATCATCTTTTGCAACCTTCTGACAGATCAGTAGGGAAGACAGATTCTTAACACCTGTGTTACTAAACAGCTGCAACAATTCACTTAAAATCTGTGGCAAGAAAGATCATAAAATGGGGCACAACTCACTTACCAGTTGTCTTAGAATAGAAATTTTGGGATCAATTGTCATAAGTAGAGGATGCAGACTTCACAGAGTATTTCTCGGGTGTGTGTGTGTGGAAACATTGTAAGAGGAAGTGCTATGTATGCCACCTTCAGCGGCTGTAGGAAAGGTGGGTTATTTAATAATAAATTGTGCTTTTTAGTGAAATCATAGTAGATGTGATTTATAATAGTTCTTTGATGCCTACCCATTAAACTTCTATATATATATTAATGTAGGAGATAAAATCTTTGTTTATAAATTAGTATGCTAATAATGATTTACATTAATATATATGATTATATGTGCTGAAAAAATCTGGTATAATCATTTTTATAAATTCTTTTTTGTTTTGTTTTTTATCTCCTCCATGTACTATTCTGTTCTTAGCCTTGGAATGAACATAGTACTTGGTTGGCTTTCCATCCAGAAACAATTCCTCCTTTCAGAAGAATACCTCTTTAAAATGGTGCTTGCCACCTGCTAATATTTAATATCTATGTTGCTAAATAAGTAATTAGGACCCTTGTATAGAATTCTTAGTTCTTGCAAATGATCCTTTCTCTTATTTTCTATGATCTCCCATGGAGAAAGTGAGCAAATCTTGCAGAGAAACTAACAACAATGCTTCAACAATGCTCTTTTGTTTCTATCTAAGTTACTGTTTATACTGCAAGATAGTCTTGTTTGAAATGTATCTTGTGACATATATGCCTTGCTATCATAATTCCCTCAGATCTGGGTAACAGTAGTATAACTCCTTCTATTTGCTAATTGAATTTTTTATGTAATATTGCTAGCTCAGTTTCTCATAGAATACCATTTGTACTGTTCTCTACAATGTACTTACATTGTGGCTTTTGTTACAAATGTGCTGAGCACTGCGTAAACAGAAATATATTTTGCAGCTCCAGCATTTCTTCCCTAAGTTCTCAGAACAGATTTTGAGGGAGAGGAGGTGTGGATCTTTTCTAATTATGTTAAAGAAAACTGTCCTAGCGATAGAAAATTCGAATTGGATCCCACCTCCTAGTCTTTGGAATTATTTTTTTTGGTCAGAACTGACAATTGTTCAGCTTGATTTGTCCTGTTGAGAAGCAATATCCATTTCCTCTTCATGGACTCGATGCAATGCAACATTTCTCCATTCTTTACAAAACATTTCAAGATTTCATAGAAGACTGTTGCTTTCTCCCCTTCGTACAGAATTCTTCCTGAAAGAGAATAAGAAGAGAAATGGTTGAATTGCCCCTCTTCTGACATTTGAAGTAGTATGTCCTAATTGCTACTGTTGTTTAAACACATTCTATAATCCACATAAGTTTATGCAGTCTCTGCATCCATATATTCCTATCAGTTTATTGCTTGATTGCTATTAGTGAAGAAATTATGCTGAGCCTGAATTTAAGCAATGATCTGAGATAATAAATGTGCTAAATTTGCTTCTGAGAGCTGGTTTTAGTCTCTTACAAATGTCTGATTATTATCACTTTTCCTTTCTGTCAAAGTTGCAAAAGCTCTTACCTTGAAGATTTGCAGTGAGAAGTTGAAGAGTTATTTGTTGATTAAGACTTTTTTGATAGTTGTACAGTCTCTGTACTAAAAACCATTTAACTTCATAGGATTTTGGTAAATAATAAGAATGCATGTTAAACATTTTTACTATATCATTGAGATGTTGGTAATCCATTTTTGCAGACTTTTATGCTTTCCTTTACTCTCATTCAGATTCTATGTTGGTTTCTATTATTGGAATGGCACTTTACACTGGCTATGTTTTCATGCCTCAACATATAATGGCCATCTTGCATTATTTTGAAATTATGCAGTGAAGAATCTCAGAAAGAAGCCACTTAGAAGTGAAGATTAGACTGCTAAGAAAACTGATTATTTACAACTTAAGGAATCCTACAGATGGCAAGATGAGCACCAATTGATGATTGTGGCAGCCACTGGGGCACATGGAGATACAAATGCATTTTATTTATGTATAAGATTCCCTTGTATATTTTGTCTATTAATACTGTGATTGTTTGTACCTTTGATATCAGTATTTTCTTAACTTTGTGACTGTCTTAGTATTACACTATAAAAGCTTTTCCTAATGTAACTTTAGGTACATTTTGCCTTCTGTTTTTTAATCAACAACTTACCTTATTCAGTGGAGCTTGAAGCTTTTGCTATTGTATACTTATGTCCATCTGGGTATATTTCTAGTAGAACATTTTGTAAGGAAGTGTTTAGATTCATGTATAAATGTGGATATACTCATAAAACTTTCTTATAAAACTTACTTCGGTCCTTGAGTTGCTCTCTGAATTGTTTAAAACTGTGGTGTACCTCTCTTGCTTTAACAATAAATGGAAAGCTTTTCTTTGTACTTGGAGAAAAACATCAAAACTTACTATTGTATATATACAACAGTATGAAATATAAGAAAGTACTGGATTCGTTCTTTATCTGCATATGAAATGTTTATTTCGTGCATGTTATTTGGAATTTTATGACAGCACTTTAATGCTGCTATTATAACTTCTAACTAACTTAACTAACTAACTAACATATATATATATATATATTTTCCAAGGAACATATTTTATTACTGACTTAAGTTTAAAAGACAGTATGGGTGTTGACTATAGTCTAATCATGTCTGTATTCTGAACCCTCTCTTGATGGTTTTCAAACTTTTGTGAATATTTAAATCACATCACCAAAATATGAAGTTTGGTATGAATTTGATTTAAAATATGCAGCAGTAAGGAGTTGCCTACTGGTCTTAAAAGTTTTCTTAGTTTTTATAGCATTTTTCAGATTTGTATTTTGGACTTTAAGATGGAATTTTTTAAGGCGATTTATGTTATTTTCCAGGGGCAAAAAATACAAAAACAGCATTGATACCTAATATGTGTCCTTAATTTTAGAAGAACACATGGGTAAACGTCTTTTAGAAATGGACAATTCTATAGAAATTTATCAACACTTTTTAAAGAAAAACTGGGTAGACCAGATACCATAAGATGGCAGGTGAAAGAACCAATTTTGAATTTGAATATTCAGGTTTCAATTTTGAACTTTAGACAAGTTCTTGCCTTTAATTTCTCTCCCCAGTTTCTTATATCGGTATTGGTTATATTGATTTGCAGGATCATCAGAATAACTATTTAGATGGTTTAACTATATTAAATACTCAACATCAGAGATTCCCCAAGGTTTTGAGGGTGCATTGAATGGCACTTTCACAAAGTCATTGTTTGGGGTATTACTATTTTACAGAATGACTTGTCATGGAAAAGCATAATCAATTGCTAATCAGTTTACCAATTCCGAAACTTGTTACCCACTTGACCCACTCCCGCCTTCTATATGATGCTCCATTTTTAAGCAAGTTTAATTTTCTGTCTTTGATTAAATGTGCACATTTCCAAACAGCACTTAATTGTGGACAGGTAGGATTTCATTTCCTAAGAAATCTTACAGTGCTAAAAGACATCATTGGAATAAATTTGTAAGTCTGAGAAAGGAGTCTGACAGACAACGGGAAATGTCTGGGCACACTGACAGCCTAAGCGCCACACTGGAAACCCTAGCACTATGCAAATTATATAATCTCATTAAAACCATCCACTTAAATTATTCTTCGTTCAAGGTTGCATCTCTAGTAAGATTCCATCTGTTACTTCTTGTCTTGCCCACAGGTGCTTTGGAGAATAGGTTGTTCCCTCCTTCTTTATGACAGCCCCTAAAATATTGGAAGACTGCTATCATGTCACCACTACACCTCTTTGTTAGCCTAGACACACCCAGTTTCTGCAACTGTTCGTAAGTTTTAGTTTCCAGTCATCGAATCATAGTTGTTGCTCTTCTCCGCACTCTTTCTAGAGTCTCAATATCTTCTTTGTATCTTGTGATCAAAATTGGATGCAATATTCCAAGTGTGGTCTTACTAAAGCAGTATATAATGGAGCTAATACTTCACGTGAGCCTTCTACTTTTAACAGTATTGGACCCAAAAGTCATAATGGAAGAGGAACATTCTCTTTAAGATATGTATCAGCCGTGGAGCCATTTTGGAAGCATCTTCAGGGCTGCTACAGCAAGGCTGGTTGGAGCTGTGGGAAGGTGAGGGGGGGAGATAGAGATAGCTGAGGATGTGTAGCCAAAACTACATTCTTTCCTGTAGGAGCCAAGGATGTCCTACCAGGTGTTGGAGAGGTGTCGAGCAAAGCCAGTAAAGATGGAGGATGTGACCTGGTTGGGCCATGTGACGGATGTGTGACCTGGGGGAAAGAACTTTGGCATTTGATTTAGGTGCAGAAAACCTCGGGTCCTTCAAAATCAGGTTTTCCCTAGATGTGCCAATATGACATGCCTAATAAATCAATGCTTTTGAGGAATATGCCTGCCTTGGAGTATTGATTCCGTTGGAGGTGTTATCTGGAACCCTGACAATACACAAATAATGTATCTAAAGAGTGATCAAGGTTATCTTTTTAAATTGGAGTATAAGATCTGGAGTTACTACATGGAAATTACAAATTGGCTTGAATAAATATGACAAAAATTTTGAGAGAAGAGAAAAATATAACAGAAGAAAACAGCAGTTAGATTAGAACTTTATGGAACTTAATTGGATTATTTGGTTATGATTAAATAATAAGTTGTTGCTTCTAATAGTTATCTTGACTGGATAGTGGTTTTTTGGATAAAATGTTCAAATGGGTCTAATGGATTTGTTTGCAATATCAATGTTATTTTTGTTTTGTAAATAAGGGGTTAGTATTCCTTCTAACATTTATAAAATAGCTTTTAAAAAGTGGCAAAATAACCTTAATATACACTGCTCAAAAAAATAAAAGGAACACTTAAACAACACAATGTAACTCCAAGTCAGTCACACTTCTGTGAAATCAAACTGTCCTCTTAGGTAGCAACACTGATTGACAAACAATTTCACATGCTGTTGTGCAAATGGAGTAGACAAGAGGTGGAAAGCATAGGCAGTTAGCAAGACATCCCCAATAAAGGAGTGGTTCTGCAGGTGGTGGCCACAGACCACTTCTCAGTTCCTATGCTTTCTGCAGATGGTTTCGTCGCTTTTGAATGCTGGCAGTGCTTTCACTCTAGTGGTAGCATGAGACAGAGTCTACAACCCACACAAGTGGCTCAGGTAGTGCAGCTCATCCAGGATGGCACATCAATGCGAGCTGTGGCAAGGTTTGCTGTGTCTGTCAGCGTAGTGTCCAGAGCATGGAGGTGCTACCAGGAGACAGGCCAGTCCATCAGGAGATGTGGAGGAGGCTGTAGGAGGGCAACAGCCCAGCATCAGGACCGCTACCTGCGCCTTTGTGCAAGGAGGGACAGGAGGAGCACTGCCAGAGCCCTGCAAAATGACCTCCAATGGGCCACAAATCTGCATGTGGCTGCTCAAACGGTCAGAAACAGACTCCATGAGGGTGGTATGAGGGCCCGACGTTCACAGGTGGGGGATGTGCTTACAGCCCAACACCGTGCAGGACGTTTGGCATTTGCCAGAGAACACCAAGATTGACAGTTTCACCACTGGCACCCTGTGCTCTTCACAGATGAAAGCAGGTTCACACTGAGCACATGTGACAGACGTGACAGGATCTGGAGATGCTGTGGAGAATGTTCTGCCTGCAACATCCTCCAGCATGACCGGTTTGGCAGTGGGTCAATAATGGTGTGAGGTGGCATTTCTTTAGGGGGCCGCACAGCCCCCCATGTGCTCGCCAGGAGTAGCCTGACTGCCATTAGGTACCAAGATAAGATCCTCAGACCTCTTGTGAGACCATATGCTGGTGCAGTTGGCCCTGGGTTCCTCCTAATGCAAGACAATGCTAGACCTCATGTGGCTGGAGTTTGTCAGCAGTTCCTGCAAGGCGAAGGCATTGATGCTATGGACTGGCCCGCCCGTTCCCCAGACCTGAATCCAATTGAACACATCTGGGACATCATGTCTCACTCTATCCACCAATGCCATGTTGCACCACAGACTGTCCAGGAGTTGGGGGATGCTTTAGTCCAGGTGTGGGAGGAGATCCCTCAGGAGACCATCTGTCACCTCATCAGGAGCATGCCCAGGCGTTGTAGGGAGGTCATACAGGCACGTGGAGGCCACACACATTACTGAGCCTCATTTTGACTTGTTTTAAGGACATTACATCAAAGTTGGATCAGCCTGTAATGTATTTTTCCACTTTAATTTTCAGTGTAACTCCAAATCCAGACCTCCATGGGTTGCTAAATTTGATTTCCATTGATAATTTTTGTGTGATTTTGTTGTCAGCACATTCAACTAGGTAATGAACAACATATTTAATACAAATATTTCATTCATTCAGATCTAGGATGTCTTATTTTTGTGTTCCCTTTATTTTTTTGAGCAGTGTAGCAAATTGGGTTTTTATTTTAAAGAAAACAACATATTTTGAGAGGTGAAGATTGATTTGTCACAGCTGTAGCTCAATTCACTGTCCAATACAATAGAAACAATTGGTTTTTAAAAAGTATTTTGTATTGATTTAGATTATGATAATTTGGTAAGAATATGCATAGGATTATAGTATTTGTATTGTATTTTCTGGACATTACTGATTGAAAAAGGGGCACAGGTTCTTTTTCTTTTTTGATACTCAACTTATATTTCCATATACTTAAAAATGTTGAGCTACTTTGGAGAGGAAAGCATTGAAATGGACCAGCATATCACAAAACTGTGAAGTAATCTGGAAAGTTGAAAAGAAACAATCTAGAAGCAGCTGTGGTAAATCACTTTCACGTTGTCACCAGAGGAATACCATTGATATACCCATCTACTCTTTTAGAAATTTAACTTGGGAGACTTTATTTGTAAATAATTTATCACCAATATAACTGAAACAAATTACAAGAACAATCTAAAAAAGAACTTTTGATAGCATAAGGACTAGAGTTTAAAAAATTCTAAACTTAGAAAGTTTATAAAATAATTTTGTGTCTATATGTACTACACAATGCTGTTAAGTATCTCATACAGTGAGTAGAGAACAAATTTCACAGAAAGGATAACTTCAAAGAGTTTTACATTTTACAAGCTCCTATCGCCTTCCAACACCATCTCTAATTTCTCATCTAAAAGCTTCAAAGTTTCCTCTGAATGTTAGCTATTCTAATCAAAACTGGTTTTATAACCCAACTTCTCCCTCCTGTACAGTAATGTTTTAAATGTCTTGATTAAGTTGAGACATCAAACATCCAAATCCTGTTCCTAGATTCAGAATGGAAAAGTAGGTAATCTCTATGAAACATAAAATTCAAAAATTTTGTCCACTTCAATAGCTATATATATATATAAAGTCCAGAATTCCTTATGCAATGACATATCTCACACACACACCTCCATGGAAATAAATCCTATTCAACTTACCACT